TCGTTCTTTATGTCACAGATCAGTTTTACTACCCACATTACTCATTCTCTGACATTTCTTTTACCAATGGATTTTATTATTGGAGAAACTTGGTTTCCTTGGGGCACCTTGTTTCCTCATTTTTTCATGTTGTTCTTGTGTCTTCCCATCTAGCAGTGTGGATCTGAGGCAGCACCTTTTCTACCCTGTAGATTTATACTGTCACTGAAGGTTTCCAGTACCTCACCTTTAAGAGAGAGGTCAATATTAACAGCACTCAATGCAAGCAATATACAGACTTAAAAAAAATTGGTCCAATTAAGATGTCTACAGTTTTGTGTCAATAAACAGAAATGGTATGATTAATTATTGTCTACTTAAATACAGTAAATTTGCAAAAGGATTTACAATTTCAAATGGTGAACAAAGAGAGAACAGAAGTGATGTAGGATGTAGTGTTTATAAGGAAGGAGGAGAGAAGACAGAGGTAGAAGGTTATATTAAAAGTAAAAGAGGAACTGATCAAGGTTGGCTGCTAGTAGGAGAAAAGAAAGAGAATCCAGGGAAACAGATGAGAGGAAAAAGCATACTCATAATTTTAAAAGTAAAATATATATACATATGTAATAGCAAAAATAATAAAAATAATAGAATACAAAACAAAACTGTAATATACTATTCTGACATACCAGTCCTTGTTAAACTGATGCATAAAGAATATTTGGTTTCAAAAATGATAGAGATGTGTGAGAGAAATACAAGGATCTTGATGGAAATTTGAACAATTGTTTTCGTTGGAGTTCAGAAGTTTCTCAGCTTCCCTTCTTAGCCAATTGGTGGGATTATCTGGAGTTTGATGATAACTCCACACTCAGAATACTTCTAGTTGCTACGGTGAAATGGTTTGTCCTGGGGATGAAACTCCTGGAGGTGGGATGTAGGCTTAGGATTGCTGTTTGCTGGGAGCCTATTAGCCTGGAGATTTTAAATCAGAGAATTGCAATTGCTGGTCCACACTGGAAGACTGTACTCCAGGACTCTCTTTTGGGTTCCACTGCTGCCTTAATGAGACATACTTTTAATATAAGTACAAAGATTGATAAAATTAAAAAAGTACACCATAAAACATAAACCAATAAAAATTGCTAAAAAATACTGTCATAAAAAGATAAGTAATATATAGGCCAAAAGAGTGATCATGTAGCACTTCATATTCTTATTAGAATTATAATGAAAATATATAAGTTTATATATTTATAAAATATATAAATATCTGAATTATAAAACTTGGTTGACTTAAATTCATACTTAAGAAAAAAGAATGTAGAAAAAGTAAATACCAAAACATGCATCAAAAGAAATTACACTGAAAAGCAAATTAAATAAAAATGTACTACACAGAAGATAACATTGACTGAAATTAATGACACAGAGAAAAATTGCAATAGAGAGAATTAAGAAGGCCAGAGGTTTTTCACTGAAAAAGACTAATAAAATTAGCTCCTGTGAGGCTATTGAAAAATAAACAGAAGGCACAACTAATATACAGTTAGAAATTAGGATGCCATTGTAGTTCTTATACATATTAGGCATATAATTAAAGCATACTCTGAATACATTTTAATATCTGTATAAAATAGAAAATACAGGATTCCTCATTAGTTCAGGCTCCAATGGAACCAAGATACAGACCCAGTGTAGTTGAAACTCATACTAGGTTGGTTACCATGGACTGAGGCTTTTAATGATTTGAATCTCTTAAACATTTTGAGCTTTGTTTTATGTTCTAGAATATGGTATATCTTGGTGAATATACTATGTGTATGTGAAAAAAGAAAGCTTATTCCTTACTGTGGAATGGAATGTTCCATACAAGTCAGATGGGTCAAAGTAGTTATGGTTTTGTTCAGGTTTCCTATATACTTGATACCTTAGTACTTTTTCTGTATACATGCTGTATTGAGTACTGAGAATAGAATTGTAACATCTGGAACTGAATTGTGCATTTACCTTTCTTTGTTCAAGTTGATAAGATTGGCTCCATGTTTTTTAAATCTATTTTTAGTTACATAAATATTTGAAATTATGTTTTTTTAGTAATCATTTCATAATTCTATTTTTTAAATCTCTGGTAATATTCCTAGTTCTGTATTTTACTTTGTGTTATATCAATGTGGTCAGTGCCGATTTTTTTTATTGATTGACCCATTGATGTAAATAGAACAGAAAAAATTGGGAAAATACTGTGGCTAGATCTGTACTCTGACCTGAACTGGCTCCAAATGTACAACTGCTGTGTTAGAATTCCACTTAGAGATGGCCTTGAAACAATATTGAAAAAATATGCTAACCCTTTGATGAGAACTCCACGCATCAAATATGGAATAAAACATAGATGGTGGAGAAGGCATCATCTTTTTTTTTAATCTCCATTTTTTTAAGTTACTATTGGATTTTTTTTTTTTTGCTTTTTTTATTTATATGTGGTGCTGAGGATTGAACCCAGGTCCTCACACATGCCATGACAAGCGCTCTACCACTGAGCCACAACCCCAGTCCAAGAAGGCACCATCTTTAAAACAGAAAAATGATCCCTCTCCAGATGGAATCTGCCTTATCTTGAACTTCCCAGTTAGCTTTATGAAGATCCAGTTTCAGACATGAGATGACTTCATTGAGATCCACTTGAATGCCAGGTGTCAGACGCAAGAGGAATGTGCCATGGCTGAGGCAACTCAAATTTTCCTATTACCAGTTTCCACTTCTTTTAATTCTTCAAAAGAAACTACATTTCTGGCAGCCCCTAAAACTCAAAAGTCCAGTCAATTATAAAAAAAACCAAAACAAACAAACAAACAAAAACACACATGCTTAAAAAACAACAGGAAGAAGCAGAATGGGAAATTATAAATGTCCTGTTGATGAAGCATGGCTTAAAATGTCTGTGCTTAGTCAAAAGATCAAATATTAAAGATTGCATCCTTTTTGACAAGCAATCATCACAAAGGATGAGACAGAATTTGAAAAGGTTGATGGAAGAAACAGCATATCAACAGAACATGATACAGGAGCATATAGAAAATAACCAGAAGCTTAAAAATGAACTTCAGGTAGAACAAAACCAAGCAGCCCATCAGGAAGAGCAAGCTTCCAAATGAGTTGGAACCAATGATGGAGAGTGTGAAAGCCAAAATTGGTAAATTGGAAGATGTATCCCTAAATAGGGTTTGCCAGCAAGAAGCTAAAATAAAAGATGTTCAAAAGGAGCAGAAAATTTTACAGGCAAAATGCCAACATTACAAGAAAAAAAATGAAATGAATAGAACAACAAGAGATTATTGGTTCTTTGCAAAAAAAGCTATCTGTAGATTAACAAAGGAGGATGAACAGCGCATCATAGCTCAAAACAGAGTGTTTGCCTATCTCTGCAAAAGAGTTTCTCATCTGTCCTGAATAGACAGTTGCTTTGCCTAATTGACTACTGTGAATCCAAGGAAAAATCTAACAATGATTTGAAAATCCAGAAGAAGAAAAAGACTATTGAAATATAGGTACATCACCAAGCCTATAAATGCCTTCTAGAGTCATTACAGAATCAACTCAAGTATTTAAAATCCAAGCTTGATGCACTTACAAGTGAAAAACTGAACCTCAAAAAAATTTGGAAAACAGACCCACACAACAGGAATTAAAACTTAAGGGCTGGGGATGTGGCTCAAGCAATAGAGTGCTCGCCTGGCATGCGTGCGGCCGGGTTTCATCCTCAGCACCACATACGAAGATGTTGTGTCCACTGAAAACTAAGAAATAAATATTTTTTAAAAATCAATCTCTCTCTCTCTCTCTCTCTCTCTCTCTCTCTCTCTCTCTCTGTCTCTCTCTCTTTAAAAAAAAAAACTTAAAAAAATAACAAGTGAAGAAACTGAAAAAAAGCTGTAAAAGAAAGTATCAAATTACAGGAGCTTGTCAGTCACTAAAAAACACAGAGGACACAGAGAAAAGATGAACCCAGCAAAGTAAACCATCTATTGGTCCTAACTGATGGTTTTCTTTGCTGGGTAGCATCAATTTACAACCTAGGAACTCCAGTAATAATTTATAAACAGAACAAAGGAGGAGCCCAAAATTTTAATAAAGATCTTATACAATATTGTGGATTTGAGCATCTTATTCCTGTAATAGAAATATGAGAAGATGAACTGGCATCCCTAAAGGATTTGTATAAGTCCTTGAAAATACTATCGACTGAACTGGTGCCTTGGAATAATTTAAAGAAACAGGATGAAAATGAAGATATTAAAGTTGAAGATCTGTTGTCCATGGTGGATACAATGGAGGAAGAAGTTAAAAATAAGGAAAAGGATAGCAACATGTCCTTTAAACTTTGTAAGCTATTATCTCTCACTTCCAAAAATTATTTGATGTGCCTTATTTAAATGGAGTCTATCCCTGAATGAATGAAGTTTACACTAGGCTTGGAGAAATGAACAATGCTGTGAGAATCCTCCAAGACCCTTAGAATTAGATAGTTCTTCGTCTTTGTATGTGCTGGTGAGCACAGTTGGAAAATACTGTAGGCTGATTAATGAGGATGTGAATGAGCAGGTTAAGCAGGTGTTAGGACCTGAAGACTTCCAAAGGTGTTTGTTTGAGAAGTATCATCCAGAATGCTTGGAGTGACGAAATTAAAGACATTTGAAAGTTCATAACTTATTTACCTTCCTATTTGGAATGGCGCTTGTTAAATAACTCGACAACCTGAAATTATCGTACACTTTTAGGGATAGAGAAAAATGTCAAGTATTTTCAAGATAGAAATAAATTGTTGGACCTGTAAGTTTACACAGGGTGGGTAAGAAACTACTCAGCATAAGCCTGTTCCCAGGGAAAGTTATATGTGGAAAAATTCAAACCATCTTAGCTACTGTAGAAACTATTAAAATCAATTTTTAAAGAAAAACATAGATAGCTTTTACATATATAAAGGGACTAACATTGCAATTAAAAACATACTGGTTTGGGTGATCACTTTGGCAGCACATATACTAAATTGGAATGATACAGAGAAGATTAGCATGTTCCCTGTGCAAGGATGACACACAAATTTGTGATAAGTTCCATATTTTTTTGAAGGGGAGGTCTGATTCCCACTGTCACTGGGCTTTAGGATGCTGACTACTTTGCTTCATTATTTGATACATTTGTTGTATTCAAAACCTTGAAATGTAGGACATCATTAAGTTTACATTATATTTATATTTTTGAAATATTTATTTTACTTACAACTAATTAATAAAAGCAGATTTTAAAGACCTAAAAGAAACAACAACAACAACAAAAAAATACTGGTTTGGAACATAACAGATTTTTACAAAAGGTACAAGCACAAACTTATTCTCTCCCTGAATATTTTTTAAAAGAGTCTGAATCAAATAATGAAACAAAGCTTTATTTGAAATAGAAAAATACAAGTTAGTGAGGGAGAGGACAAAGTAAGATGAGAACAGAGAAAATCAAAGTAACAATAATAATAGATATGGAAGGAGAAATAAGAAAATTCACAATATAATTCCAAGCATTACAACTGTAAGCAGCCTACTTTTTATTGTGCTTAATACTGGTTCCTAATGGCTTGCATGCAGAGCCTTGACAGAAAGTCAAATAGGCCTCCCAGAATAAGAAAAGCATATGAAAACATTTATTTCCTGCCCAAATTCAAAACAGAGTGAATGCACTACAGAAGAAACTCTCAGTAAACAACAGCAGGCTGGGTTACATACTTTTGAGATTATGATAAGGTGTATCCCAGTGTTGCATAAAACTAAAAATATTTTTTTTAAAAAAAGGCATTTTATACATCATAGATCTTTCCATTTAAGATCAATGAAGAAAGAATTAAATAGAAAAGCTGTTATTGAAAAGAGGAATCACAAACAGCCAAAAAAAAAAAATACATGAAAAACTTTTCAACATCCCTAGCAATCGGGGAAATGAAATTTAAAAATACACTGAGATTTCATCTCCCTCCAGTCAGAAAGGCAATTATCAAAAAATACAAATAGTGATAAATTCTGGTGAGGATGTGGAGGAAAAGGAACAAAAAAAAAAAGAAAAAAAAACCTAGGAATGGAACCACCATATGACCCAGCTATCCAACTCCTTGGCATTTATCCAAAAAAACTAAAATCAACAATCAGCAAGCTCTACAAATATAGATACATCAATGTTTACAGTAGCACTACTCACAATAGCCAAGTTATGGAACCAGCCCAGATGCCCATTAATAATTGATTAAGAAAATGCGCTGTATATACACAATGGAGTTTTACTCAGCCATAAAAAATGAAATTATGGTCCCCTCCCTCTCCTCCCTCTCCTTCTCTCTCTCTCTTTCTCCCTCTCCCCCGCCCTTCTCTTTTGCAACTGGCCTCTATGACTGACCTCTATGTCCTGCTAATAAAATCTCCGACAGGTAAAGGATTGTTTTGGTGGAGCTTTTCCGTCGTTCCTACAGATATGGGCTGGAGAAGCCATAGAATGTTGTGAGCAGAGCTTAATGGGCAATTCTGGTGGGAGCTCAGAAGACCAGAATGCTGATAGAAATGTGGCCAGTAAAGACTGTACTCATGAGTTTTCAGAGGGGAATGGGGACTCTATTGTGAATCAGACTAGAGAATATTCATGTTACATTCCAGCAAAGAAGTTGTCTACATTTTGCCCATGCCCTGACATTTTCTGTGAAGGTGAATTTAAAGGAAATAGACTAATAATCTGGTGGAAGAAATTTCAAGGAAGCACAGCATTCAGGCCTGTGTGGCCTGGGTGTTGCTGGCAGATTTTAGCTAGGTTTACTGTGAAAATTGGAAGCAGAGAGATTTGGAAAACTTTGTTGGTCAAAGAAGCGCAGGTAAAATTGGGGCCAAGGAATTTAGGACCTTGTCTTAGAGTCCTGCTTCTGAAACTTTCTGGTTCTTTTATTTCTTTGTCCTAAAATTTCCTTATCCATAAAACTGAAATAGTAACACCTACCTACTCATGAGGTTGGCACAAATACTTTGTGAACTGTAATTCATTGATCAGCAAATTGATAAAAAAAAAAAAAAGATGGTCATCATAAAGAGAAGTTAAGTACTTTGCTGAGACAAAGGAAAGATACCCTGAGGGCATCTCAGGAGTCAGCAAAACCACACCCATTGCAGGCTCAAGGGTGTATAAGTGAAAACTTGTTTGAGAGACCTTGGACCTATGCTTGCGTAGGGTTACCTAGAAAGAAGTTTCCCCAGGATTCATTTCACTGTGTTTGATTGTCCAGGCGTTCAGAGGTCACTGCAGTAATGGTCTAAGGGGGGCAGGCTACAGCTTGAGCTGACTTCAGACCTCAGCATCATTCACATGGTGCTAGTTCTGCATGGATGCAGGACGCTGGAATTAAGGAATACCGGAAGTTTACGCTGAAATTTCAGAGAAAGGCCTGGGAGGCCAGGGAAAGTGCAGCAGATCAGAATCCCTGCAGGCAGCCCCTGAAATATCAATGCACGAGGCTCTGAGAAGGAAGCCAAAGATGCACTTCAGACACTCTGGATTAAGAGATGCCAACAACATGGAACATCTGCTGGGGAAAGAGGCTGGCTGTGGACAGAGCCAGCTTAAGAGAAAGGCCATTTGGACTGCAACTGGCAAGGCGATAGGGGTGGAGCTGCACAAGCCCTTTGAAGATCATATTTTGCCCTTATGTGCACTGAATACAGAATTTGGAGCTACTTGTTTTCCTAGCTGGATTTTGGTCTTGTGTTGGGCCCATCACTTTTTTCTATGCCCCCATTTCTTCCTTTTGGAATGGGAATGCTTACTGTGTGCCAATATATATTAGATATATGCAACTTGCCTTTGATCTTTACAGGGGCTCATAATCAAAAGTTTGCCTTCGCCTCAGATGAGACTTTGGACTTGACTTTTGGGTAAAACTGGAGCTGTTAAGACTATGGGGACTCTTGAAAATGGACCACATGCATTTTGCATTATGAAATGGACATGAGTTTTGGGGACCCAGAGGTGGAATGTTGAGGTTTGGATGAGCTATCCCCCAAACTCGTATATTAACACAGGAGTTGAAATGATTAGATTATAAGAATGTAACATAATCCGTGGGTTAATTCATTTGGTGGATTACTAATCTGAAAGTACTTCTTTACTGGGTAACTTCAGTTACTGGTTAGCTGAAGGCAGGTGTGGTGTGGCTAGAGGAGGTAGGTTACTAGGGTTGTGGTTTGAGGATTATACATTTTTGTCCCTGGCTCCTCCCTCTCTCTCTGTTTTCTGGTCACCCTGGCCCTTGAGCTGAGGAATTTTCCTTCCCTTCGACATTCCCTTCTGCTGTGATGTTCTCTACCTTACCTTAAGCCCAGAGCAATGGAGCCCACTGACCATGGTCTGAACCTCTTAAATCATAAGCCAAAATAAACTTTTTCTCCTCTTAAAAAAAATGAAATTATGGCATTTGCTACTAGATGGATGGAAGTAGAGAATATCTTGTTAAGTTCTATAAGCCAGACCCAGAAAATTAAGGGTCAAATAAAGTGGTGGTGGGGGATTGCTCTGATTATAAAGATAGAGGGAAGGTCAGTGGAGTAGAAGAAGGATAATGGGGGTAGGGAGGAGGGAAGAGAAAGGGGAGGACCAGGGACTGAAGTGGAGTAAATTAATTTATATACTTCCATACCTGTATCTTTATGTCAAAATTAACCCAACTGTTATGTACAACTAAAATGTACCAGTAAGAGAGAAAAATTAAAGACTACTTGATGAGAACATCACCACATCAAATATGAGAAAGAAAATTAGCCAAACTGAAGCTTCATGGGAGGATACAAGGAAGAAGAATCTCATAGAACACATAAAAAAGCATGTAGGTTTGTTGGAATAGAAATTATATTTTTCACTCTACCTGTTAAATTGCATTTAATAATTCTCAGTGGTAGCCAAACTAGAACATATCGCATAGTGCTTGCATTCTGTTTAGCATAATATAGAAAATATAGCCTGGTGAGGTATGACAAATAACTATAACTTGAAAGACATCAGTGGTCACCAGTTAATGAGCATTAAAAAATTACCCTACTTATATTTCAAATTTAGGTTTTCTTGGTAGTTTGTACCTGATGACTCAGAACCATCCTACTGACATCATTTCCCTCTGGCCTTGATCACATCTTTTTTCTTACAAAGTTCATCTTCCCATGACAGTTTATTTCCCCTATTCACATTCCTGCCTAGGTTCTCCCAGACATCCTTTGTATTCATCACTGATGATGAAGCACAGCCTTTCTCTCCATCATGTTGTCCCTCCCACCCCTGATCCTCATACATACGGGCAATTAAAACTCTTTACTTCTTTAACAGTTTGTTCATTATAGCACAATACAGTATAACATAGTAGAGTAAGATGTGTCTTTTTTTTTTATAACCTTTAAATGGTTCATCTAAAAATGTCCCACTAAAGTCTCCCACCTTCCACAAACATCAACACTCAAACTTCTTCACATCATTTCTAAGTTGGAAAATAATGTTTTCATTTCATTAGCTTCTTCAGCCCTATCTGCAACTCTACTTCTAACCTATGAGTCTTCGTCCTTCTTCACCTTTCTCCATGTTCAGATTGGTTCCATTGTATGGTATTTCTGCCAATGCACTAAATTTTCCTGAACTTCTTTTACCCCACTTGTTCAGCAAAATTATAATCCTATCTGAAATTGTTTCTTTTTCTGTCAATGACTGTTGAGACAAATATTTGCAGAATAGGTCAGATTTACTGTGATACAAATTCATTGTCACCAACATGAAATTATTTGACACTGATACGGTATGTCCTGTTACATTACTTGGTCACCGCTCTCATATTCTATGAAAATAATTTTATTGCACATCTTCCGTTTGTATCAAATCTCTTACTCTTTCACATATAATTCCTCTTATTCTGAGATAATCCATATTGCAGAGAAAGAGAAGACACTGATTAGACTGAAAATCTCTTAGCTGCCCTTCTATATATACACACACACATGCTTCTCATCTTACTTCTGACTTGTTAGAAAGCTGAATTCTTCTTACTCACTGATAAAGTTAATTTT